GTTGCATGTCGTTATTCCTCGATTCTCCCGCTCCCTCGCTTGGGGCTCACTGATTTTTATTTTTCTACTCCCTTTTACCCGAGACTGGGGAACTCACTCACTCTCTCTCTTTATTCCCTTTAGCCATCCTCCGCGCGTTCTTTCCTTTCACCCTTTTTTCTCCACCGTTTTAACGACTAACGTCGAGCAGACTGGACGTCGTTATTGATTAAGCGGGCACGTGAAGGCGCACCGACGTCTTGCACGCCGGAATTTTCCTTCCTTTATTCCCCGTTTTTTTTCTCCTGTCCTTCTCTCTTCACCCGCGAAACTTCATGGGCTCAAGCGCAACGTTCCCTTTTCGTCCATCCGCCCGTGCATCCCACCTCGGGTCGTGATCCGCAGTCGCTTAAACACACCTCGTTCAATAGGTTTCTATTAACTGAAAATCGCCCGGTATCCCCCTCTCTCTCCCTCTTTATCATTCGTGACGAAAGGGAGACGTGCGATAATTAGCGTCGTCATCCGGTTGATCCCGGAATTCCCAGAGCACGCGTCAAATCCTATTATATCGTCATTATAAATTGATACCGTCGTTTAGGCGGCGCGAACAGGCAGGGTGTTCAAGGATCACACCTCGGATAGACGGAGGTGGCAAATCCGCGGGCACAATCGTTCCTGATATCGAATGCATTTACCCCGATGAAAGGGCTTTCCCTCTGTGCGACCAGCCTCTCCGAGACGGAGGGGCCGGTGGGAATCGTAATTGCAAGATGGATCCCTGTCTGTTCTTCATTATGCCACGTCGGATCCCCTGTTCTCTCAGATGTCGCTTCTTCGTCTCTCTCTCTCTCTTTCTCTATAGCCTCTTATTATCGCAAAATCTATCTCTTCCCATTATACCAGTCTCTGGCTGCCTAGTTATCTTATACCTACACCTCGAAGCTCGCCACAGCTTTCTTTATATTTTCTATCTCCGTGGCTGTTGCCGGTCTTCTCTTTTTACTTCAGATCTCCAGGCACGATTATTCACTGCTTCGATTATTTTTCCTTTTGTCCTCTGGTCTTGTACAGTTTAACGTTCGAATCGGAGCGCCGTGGTTTAACGTGGTTTGATTCTTGAATATCCGCGCGAGACGTGGAAGGGTTGTTTACCCCCGAGGAACGTCAGTAACCGGTAACCGAGTCGGGAATGCTGAACATCTCGCTAGAATGGAGAGAAAGATTCTCTTGACTGACAAGAAACATGTCCGTTGCTACTCACCTTACACATAGTGAATGGCCCATGAATTAATTAAACGAAGCTCTTTCCAGTTTAGTACTGCTCGTAATTACCTGTTTCACGGTAGTGTTGTTTTTATTCCAAATCTGTTTTCCAACTCAGAGCCTTTCGGTGATTAAACATCGTCGATATTTTTCAGAAATCAATAAATACATATGTAAATTGGAATTATGGAACATTACCATCTGTGTCAAGAGAGAGACGTAACTGACAGTTTTATGTACATTATTATTATTATTATTATTTATTATATAATAAGTTATAGAGCTTTTTAATATATAAAAAAGTAATTCGTGACCATATTAACTGTCCTAAATCTAATAATTGTATAGAATTAAATATGTAGAGATGCCGCCCAATCGAGTAATGTTATTCTTAAGGAATATAGGGATCTAAAAAGGTTTAGAATAAAAAAATCATGGAAATTGGAGATGAGGCCCTTACCAGTTTTATCACGTACAGAATTTACACCTATTTAAAATAAAATATTATTATTATTATTATTATCCACTGGAGAGAAATTGCTAATTAAGTACTTCTGCACAACAGTAAATAAGAGACAAACGATATAGTTGTTATAACACAGTTTTTGTTAATAAATGTGGGTGATATTGGAAGAAATTTGATCGTGGGAGGTGCTATATTTTCGACGAAATTTGCGGTCTGTTCAGATATTCGATAATGAAGCCGCAACGCGGCACGGTACAATCAGCCCCGGGCAATGTGTAAAATGAGTTATCGCCCTGGGCTTTCAGCCTCTCACGTATGGATCATTATTGCTTCGTGGTGTTTTATTCAATTACGGCGGGAATCGACCGAGTTCGGGCGATTTTCACGATTTTATTCCTTATCGGGAAGCTCAACAAAAGCAAACGTTTATCAAATGCTGTCACTGTTTTCGTTCCGAACTTTCAACGAGGCAATCGTCCAGTGCTGATTCCGAGTAAATCATATCTTTCTCTCGGCAATAACTTTATAGACGAGCGATATGAAAACATGGAGCAACAAAAGATTATGTAAAAGGAAGAAGTGTTTTGTTAAGGAAAAACGAAAAGAGGCAGGAATGCGAAATTTCCAGGATAACGACACAGGCAGACGCCAATAATGAGACTCGATATGAACGCAGCGGAGAGACGGATGAAGCTACTTCGGAAAAAAGGAATCTCCCGATGCATCGGTAATTTAAAGGACCCGACTCTCGGCTGCTCGCGAAAAGTTATTCGGGAAGGGTACGTGGATGGGTGGATCTCCACTTTCGTGCGGGTGGAATTTAATTTCATTGAAAATCCGACGTCGATGCCTCGGCGAAACGAACGAACGGACGGACGAGCCAGCGAACTCGGGCGAGGACGGAGGACGAAGGACGAGGAGAAGAGACAGTGAACACGAGGATCGACGTCGCGTCAGGCCACGTGGCGCACCGGCCCCAGTTCCCAGCCCCTCGGCCCTCTCCTCTGGAAAATATCGCCAAAAATCGCTCCGAGCCTCGGTCTCGACCTCTGCCGGAAATTAAAAATTCAACGAGCCGAGCGTAATTTCGTAGAGGGCACGGCGTACAAGAAAAGCGAACAGGAGAAACGACGGGACGCCGAAAAACGATCCCTGTACCGAGTGGAAAGGGAGAAAATGATACGGATGGGCGGTGGAATCTGGAGAATGGAAATCGATGCGTCAGGGGGAGCCCGAGAGGACGCGGGAACCGAGTTACGCTCGGCGTCGTTAAGGCGAAATCGAGGGATCGACCCGAAGAAAAGGTTTAGGTGGATGCGCTTTTCTTCGCTCCAGGCGAGGGAAAAACTCTGTGGACGAGAGCTCTCGCGGGGTGTACGCCCCTTTGAGATAAACCGCCCATGACCCTGAAACTGAGCCAATTACTCGGTGGATTTCGAAGTTGAACCGAATTAACTCTTTGCACTCGATTTATTTTCAATGCTGTATTCTACTGTCATCTGAAGCATGGCATGGATTAAAAACACATTAGATTCTGCTCACTGAGCATGAGGTACCGATTCCTTACCTGATCTTATTTCTCAAAGATTACTTCGAAGATTATAGAATCCAAGTCAAGCAAATATAGTGCAAGTACGTGGAAGGAGCTTCGGATGCAAGGATACAGTTTTACAGTTAAGGATGTCAGTTTTACGTACTGAATTTATTTATTAACATATGATGATGCTATGCCAATGCAAAAATGGCTAGTATTAGGTATTTGCTACTTATCTATTTATTACCTATTTAATTGTGGGGTCAACGGGGGTCCTTACTTTGCCAACTTACTTATCAAAGTAATTATTCCTATACATGTACTAGTGAAAATCTGTTTCACGGTGTTATTATTTTATTCGAAATAAGCCTGGACAGAAGTTGGGAATGCAAAATTGCTTTGAAAAATATCGGCTCCGTGAAACATGGTTTAAGAGAAATTCGTCGCAAGAACGTTACCGGAAATCGAATGTTTTTCTCGTAACGGAGCTAAGCGAAAGTTCGTTACCGCGAATAAAGGCAGTCGGGGAGGACAGGACATGGTTAGGAAAACAAGTTTGTTCGAAGTAATAAACCGCGGGGACTGCCGGTGTTTTATAAACGCAAGGAAGCGTTCCGCGGTTGCGAGACAAAAGGATTCTGTTATTGTTAATTTAGTATAATTTCCCAGACGAGACCCAGAAACGCGGACTCAGGGCGCAGGGCGATTTAAGCGCAACGGTGGCGCTCGCGCAAAAATTAGCACTTGTTATCTGAAATAGCTGCGCAGCGCCTCGCGGATGCACAATAGAAGCGACCGGAACAAAAGCAGCGGTAAAATTTTCCAAGCCGCCCACGATCTCCCCTCCCCGCGTACATCCCCGCTTATCCTCCGCCATCCACCCCGGCGATATTACGCGCTATGATTTCATTTCTGATTACAAAGGAGATTCCACGTTGCCCGTCATGCTCTGTTATCATTCCGCTCAATTAAGTCGTTCCGATAATGATGAACGACGTCCTTGAAAGTTACCTTTTCCCCAGTCCCTCTTTCATGTAAATTGCAATTTACGTAAAACAATTGTAAATACTCTGCGCGTTTCTAGGCGAGAAGCGAGAATCCGACTATATGTATTAAGCGAGTATTTAATAACGAGTAAATTCCGCCGTCTATTCATTTATTTGCACTACTAATACATACAGTTTTATATGGACGTTTCGTTGGCTGCAAGGCAAAACGTAATAATTCAGCTGAGCACTTAAAAAGCCACTCAATCGTTAAAACGTTACAACCTGTAATCGCCTTTTTCTAATAGAGTTTTAAGGGGCTATACCAGTATGATACTTTCAGAAAATCAATTTCTTTTTCATTTTTCGAAAGTTTATATGATACCTTCAAGAATATCATATTAAAACTTCAAGACCTGATCTCAAATAGTTTGAAAATGGCAGTCTTCTAATAGCATTAATATAATATAAGTAACAATATAATATAATAGTTAAAACTTTAAACGCGTCTTTCTCAAAACGGTATTTTTCAAATTTCATTATGTGTGCGGGAAAAAATTATTTTGTACAGTTTATAGCCTCTTAAGTCAGCAGTACGTCCACAACGTATAAAACTAAGGAATGTATAGTTTATCAAGTAATGAGTACTGAACAAAGAATCATGAAATTATGACGTTAGTTCTATAAAAAAGAGCCAACTGCTCCTTTATGAATAAGTAAATAAAGATCTTTATAAACATTCATTAATAGAAATTCGGTCGTATTGCAGGAGGAGTGCGCCGCGATGCTGCAAGATCTGAGCGACAAGATCAACAACAAGCACCACGAGGTGCACACGCATCCGCTGCTGTCGATCTTCAAAATGGCCGAGGTCGAGGTGAAACTGCCGTACAGCAACGGCGCCGATCGCACTGCGAGGTCACCGGGTCTCCTCTTAGCCGCAGTCATCGTCGTTCTGGTGCTCAGCCCACTTCGATCGCCGGTGTCGTCCTGTCCGCTTGCCTCGTGACATGAACAGCGACGAGCCAGCCATCGTCGAGACTATTGAAATTTTCTCGAACACACGCCTAGGCAAGAAACGCCAGAGCTGCGCGAACACGTCCCGAGAAGAACGCAGAGGAACACGGGGGACGTCGGTCGCGCGAAGACTACCGGCCACGAGAATGGCCGTTTCTTCTGATCATCAACGAACGTCGAACTCGCAGTTAAATACTGAACGGGGCTCTAATCTTTCGTGCCTCGTGGATCGAAGAACGAGTAGAGAGAATTTTCCTGACTTGTCACCGCCATCGAGGATCGTGTGTTCACCCATTGACCATTTTTCTCGATCATTCAGGTTTGACGTTTATCTTATTTTCGTTTCAATCCCCGCGCTCGTTTTATGTCCATCGCCCCTGTCAAGACGTCTAATGGAAGTATGTATAAACTAATATTGACTCTGCACTCGATTCGAAGTTGTTTCGTATCGTCATTTCCAGTACGATTGAAATGACCTACGAGTGCAGAGGGTCAATCAAATTAAATAATTTCGGTAATAAAACATGAATGTTTTCTAAACAAAACAAATACTAACAATAAGGCGGTGATTACACGTTTATACGATACGCGCTATTTAGTAATGATAATGGAGTAGATAAGTACGAGAATTAGAGGACATGGTAGGCACAAAATAATGCGGTAGAGTTAATTAATTTCTCCTATCGATATCGTTTAATTATGAACGTTTTTAATATGGACCGTTCCATGGCGACGCGTCCTCTCGTAACTAGATTCGATTTCGAGGGCTGAAACTTTTATTGCGATACCGACGAAACGTAACGCGGTCCCTTGTGTGTGGCCAATAATAAAAAGGGATCCCATATGCGGGAAATGGGCGTAGATCCAAACACGGGTGGCACACGGTCGCTGCTGGATCAGCGACGATATTGCCATATCCGAGGACCATGATCCTCGGTCATTAGAATCGCTCGAGACATTTTCTATCATGCCCAAGCCGTAACTATAAAACCGTGTATCGGTAAAAATGCACGTCAAACGCCGAGCACAGCCCTCGAGCCTCGTGTTCCGTTCCGGTCTTTTGCATATTTTCGATTACATCTGCTTTGCAACGGGGCACACGTACCGGGAATTTTTCGTTAACCCCCCCCCCCCTCTTCGCTTCTCCCTTTTACGGTAAATTACTTTTTACTTTTCGCGACAACGAAGAGACCGTAACAGTGATTTGAAAAGTTGTATTTCCTCGATGGCGCGTGACGAGGCGACGCGTGTATAAAGGAAGCACAGTAGAGTCTGTAAATGACAAGCGCTAATTTATCGTGTAATTAAAATAAGCTAGCGAGAAATAAAAAAGAAACGCGAACGCTCCTCCTGTATCGGACCATTAGGTGTTTGTTAACGTTGTTCAGAGTGAAATCTAACCGGCCGTTTGAGATGGCATATCTAACGGGTGGCGAACTCGAATGTGTAGATAACTGTAGATTGTTAAATAGAAGCCAAAACGTAATAGAACTGAATGAAGATGAGACGAATGTACGAACCGTTATTGGATAAGTAAAAAAATCAGCTGTCTCTCATTTCCGAGCCACGAATTATAGTCTTGTTGTGTCTTCATCATCTTTAAATAGAAAACTCTGTAAATTATGTGAGTATAATTTACGACTCGAACATAAATCGTTGGTTCGAATCTCAAATTATAGTTTCACCATTGCTATACTTACCGTTTCTTCACTTTTTTTAAACAAAAATCTCAGTAAGTTATGTGAACGTAGTTTAGGATTCGAGGACAACCCGTTGAAAAATTGAAAGACGATTCATTTAATAGCGTGGTGAGACGATCTCGTTGATGACAGATGGCAAATGTAGTAGCTGGGGATGTGCCGGCAGTAATTCGACCGTTTCGGAAGCGACACGCGCGTACTACGGACCTGAGAGACAGCTGGTGGTTTAAAGCGGTCGATTTGTCAGCGTGGCGTAGAGAAAGAAGCGAAAAAACCGAGGGAAACTTCTAAAAGATCGTTCCTCCGGTGAACGCGTGACGTTTACAAACGACGCGGAATTACGCGACCTCAAATTATTCAAAATGCCACGTTCCGCTCGCGCGATTATGATCTTAGCGACGACGACGCCTGGCCGCTGCTCGATCGCTTTACAAACAGGGCGTTCGTTTTTCGAAATTAGAAAGACGATTTAAAAATACTCTTATAATAATCGGCAATTCTTAGAGTTTCGAAATCAGCAGATTTACAGAATTCTTAGATGAAATAAAAGGAGACTGCTCCGAAATGAAATAAGAGAAGACTCGAAAATGACCGTAGAATTTCAGGATTTCATTTAGTCAGAGTTTAAACGAGACTGCCATTTCTCGTGTCTGACGCGTACATGGAGAAAACGAGAGGTTGACAAGCGGCACAGGAGGCGCCGACGAGCAAGCTTTCCAGGGGAGGGAAACAAAAATATCTGGCGATCCGGGAACGACGACAGAATTCGTCAATTTAGCACAATTAATTATGCGCGCCCATTCGCGCACTAGTCCGTGTAAAAAGGGAAGTTTGAAGATGCTCGGATAGAAGGACTCCGGCTCGCGTTCGTTCCGTCCCAATCGCGGATTGCGTACGTGACATACGTCACATTTTAAACTGGGAGAGCAATTCCATTTTATCCGAAACAATTATTATAAACGGCAGTTCGTGGTCTGCTCCGAACGGATCGAACCTTAGAACTAAAAGTGAAGAGAGAGAGAGAGAGAGAGAGAGAGAGAAGGAGAGATTCGTTGCGATTAGTTGAATTTCGACAGGGGAAACGGGAGGAACGTGAGCCAGATCGAACGTACGTGACGTGGTTGTCGGCAAAGCAATAATGTATAAAGTTTACGATCCACAAGCACGTCGCTCAAAAGAGGGATTGGTAGCGAGCGAGCGAAGGGGTTATACGTATACATATAACCAGGGCGAAATGTTTTAATGTCGCGTTGCACGTGAAACGCACGCTCGTAGGCAAAGACCGTGTTATTAAAATTTATCGCGTACGCGCGTGTTAATTCGCGTCGGAGGACTTCGAACGGCACGCTTCTACTTCGACCGAGATAATAATTCCTCGTGTCCAAACGGTTTGAAGAATCTAATCAGGCGGAAACGAATACATATGCGTTTCTTACCATTCGCGAATCACGGAACGCCTTTTAGTCTCGATGGTTGACAGACCTATCGAAGCACCTGTCACTTCGATCAGGAAATATACTAAACTTCTTAAACGTATGCACAAAGTTTCGTTAACACGTCTATGCCGCGGCACAAGACACCGAAATTGCATCGAACACGCACATATCTTGTGATTCTTTTAACGTTTCACGTCCCACGCGTGTACATACTATGACTCATTCATTTGTGATTAAATGATTCACGTGCTGAAGCTGCTTCATTGACTGGCACGCAATTATAATAGTGAATGTGACGTTCGTACGCACAATGAATTAATAATAGTTTATCATTTACGATACTTTTGGTAGCGTAATCGAAAATTGATTTAAGGTGTACGAATTGTTGGAGAGCTATTTAACAATGGCCTAACTCGTATTCTTTTACATATCGTCACTTGTACATAAATGTTAAGCGCAATCATTCCGTGGTTCGTGAATATAACGAATAAGTGAAACGAGATTCGAATGCCGGTCGTTTAAGCGCAGCAGAGAGAACGGAGAATGAGAGAGAGAGAGAGAGAGAGAGAGAGAGAGATACGTTGAGTTTCTTCCAATGAGTTAAGTCGCTCGCGGGTCTTTGCATGACTGTCTGATTTCACTTGCCAACTGTTCACTGTCGAAACCCGACGCTTAAACATATCCGTATACAAATGTTACTTGTTCTATCGAAACACTTTGTACAAGTGGTACCACACTAGCATATTTCGTTCGGGAAAGCTTCGAAAGCTCTCGTCTAATTTGAGAAACGCCAAGCGTACGAAAAGAAGATGACGGCAAGATGTAATTGTTAAAAGCGTATCGTTGCGTCGTCTCTGGTACGTCGACGACGAAAAACAGTGTAAAAAAAAAAAAAAAACACGGTGGTTCCAATCGAACATATCAAGGCCTGTTAGAAGTGGCCAGCCAATATAAGCGGTTTTACTCTGGGTTCTTGTAGCTTCAATTTTTTCGATGCTTTTTTCAGACCTATAGAAAGACGGTCCGTTTGCGTTCCGTTGCCATCGTTCCAGTGATGTCCCATGGAAGAAAACACGGTAAACGATAATTTATACGAGGAATGTCATTACTCTGAGAAATTAATAACATTTCACAGATTCCTTCTTCTGTTCGTTCAATCAGAAATTTAAAGAAAGAAATAAAGAAGAACAGATTCGCAGTTCTCGTACCGGCCGAGTCGCGAAGCTTCCCCTAGATCGTGCGGCCTAGTGGAAAGCTCCGCGTGCAGGGAACACCCGAACGTGGCAACGCGGCAACGGCACATCGACACCGACCGGACCGTTACCGTTTTTAAACGACCGAACTTACAATTAGATGATCGCAGGAACGCATACAGCACCGCGAAAACGAGAAACGAACGATCGCACACAAACGTGGCGGGGGTCAGAAATCGATATTCCATTCGGGGCACGCATTAACGCCCGGCCGATCAGGCCTCTCGTACTCGATTCCCTAGATAGTAAGTAAAAAGCTCACCGAAAGCGTTCCTGCCTTACCGATGGCGAGAAATGTATCGTCGCCCGATAACTTCCCCTCGATGCTAGTTTCTTCGCGAACTACCTCATTATTGGTATACGCCGAGTCGCAAGCTCCCGCAAGCTCTCAGTACCGACCGGGCTCACGGAACGCTTTTTACCAATCGCTGCACTGGCGGCACGTACAACGTACAGTCGTCCTTGTCAAACGTTTCCCATGCTACGCCACGCGTTCGTGGCTGATTTATTTGCCACTGTTTCACTTGTCCTCTCCGGTAGAAATACGTACACTTAGACAGTCGTTCAGTTTTCGAGTGAAGCAGCACTACAAACCTCCGCAACGTGGATGACGATAATTTCTCGGACGAGGACCTCGATTTCCGTCGGTAGATCGGAACGAAAGCTCAACCTCTCCGACTAACACTTAACACTTACCGAAACGAAGGAACGCGCGCAATTATACATATACATATACCCGCGCGCGTGTATACATATACATATTATATATACATATACATATATTATATATATAAACATATATTTTATTACTTGAAAACGCACTCTGACCCCGACCACGCATGTGGTTACCGTAAAATGTAAACTTAAGTAGCGCACCATTTTCGAGATGCTTGGACCCTTCCTAAACGACGCGGACGAGCCTCGCGTCGGTGTTTAAGGGTATCCCTCGTCCCGCTAGTATCAGCAAAATTAAATTTGCACGAGTGAAAAGAGCCGCACCCTTGTAAAAGTACCATCCTTGCTAGAGCACGTGGGGACGTGCATCGACGAGCCCATTCGTACTTTCTACGATTTTTCGGTGGAAATTGTTACGAGAAATGGAGTCGGACGAATGTAGATCCTTGAACGAACGTAGAGGCCGCATCCTTGCTAAAGCATATCGGGAAGTGCATCGACGATTTGTACTTTCCACGGTTCTTCTCGAGCCCGGAGGAAATTGCTACAAGAAAGGGCGTCGGACGTATGCAGATACTTGAACGAGAGTAGAGGCCGCGTCTTTTCACCGCCGTAAATATTTAATATACGAGGGATGCTCGCGAGACGCGTTTTAGGAGGTAACTTTAGAAAATGCGAAAAGTGGGGCGCCGCTTTCAGTAGATCTCTGTTCGGTTCGCACGCGAGATGAATGGATAAACGGGGATGGTAGAGCAAATGAGAGTGAGAGAGAGTGTCATAAAACCCGGTAGTAAAGGGGAGTCCGTATTCGGATTTCCCGATGGATCACGCGAATGCGTGACCGACCGACCGTATGCGTGGAACCAGAGTGCGTCCGTGTGTCTGCGCGCTTTCTGCTTCTGACCCAACGCCGGAGAGAGAGTTAATAGTCGAATAAGCAGCAGCTCCTTGACTAACGCTATTCGCGTTCGCGTTCGGACCTCGCTAAAACAAAAAATGTTCGTTCGAGATACGAAAGATCGGGACGCCGCAGATGAAATTAGGGTGACTATCCGTCACTGGAAACGTAGTACATCGAATCTACACGAGAGACGTGGGGAGGATAGTCGGGCGTTCTCTGCGACGGGGATGTCTACGTCGCGACGTCTGCTCCTGTAAATAACGAGTATAACGATGTAATAGAAAACGAACAGGACGTTAGTTAGAAATCGACACGCCGTCTGGTCACCGAAGGGTAGCAATAATGACGAATAATTGGACCGACAGTGGAGCCGCGGAGGGGTTCGTTCTGATCAATGCAACTCCGTCGAGGATCATTTATTCGAGCTTCGTCCAAATTCTCGCTCCATGAGCAAATACGACGATTGCAATAATGTTGATGAAATTAAGAGATAACACGGGACATCCCCAGGATCCTAGATACAACACCTTCTATCGAGTAACCCTCTAGCGCAATAGAAATGTAACGTTCACTGTATATACCTATACATAAATATACATTATACGTACATATACATATGAGTATACATAATACATAACATGGATATGAAGGAGTACGCGATACTTAAATCACTTGAACCTAAACGTTCGACGGTGATCCTCGAGTAGTCATCGCTCATGGAATATCGACGTCATTTAAGTTCCGAATGATTTTCTAACGAACGAACGACTGCTCCCGGATCAGAGAAACCGCTTGAAAGAGATACTTCAGCATAATCGTCGATACGTATAGGTAGAAAGCGATCACGACGAATGAAGAACTAGAAGAAACGAATATTAACGAAAAATCGTAAGAATATGGTGCGGGTGGCGAGCGATGTGTACGATATAGAGAAGAAATAAAATGAAATATTCACAAGCGGAGGGTGCGTGAGCGTGCGAGTGAACGAGAGCGCGAGTATACTTGTTATAATATTATTATACGGATGACTAAACGAGTTGCTGAGGCGTTGGTAAATAAATGCGAACGGGCCCTCTAGGGCCCGTTAAATTATAAATTGCCGTCATGAGTCTATTGCTTCACCCTGACACGATACTTTCTCTCTTCCTCTTCATGTCCATCCAGCGAATCCAGTATTAAGGTTGTTCTGGGTATAATTAAAAATAGAGTACTTAAAGAATCGTCATAAATGCACAATTAATTGGCATAACGAAAGCCTTGAAACAATTGAAAATGAAGCTTTTAATAAATGTTCTATCGTATTCCAATTAAAATACACCATTTAACGTAAGCAACTATATACAAAAATCATAGAATACACTATAGTTAGCACACGTCTAACTTTTTATCCAGGACAACCATAAATACTCCCCTGTAATAATATTTCAGTCTAAGATCAACCGACAGTTATTCTTCTTACTTGCACGTACGAACCGAACTTCGCTAATCGTTATTGAACGAAAGTTTATTCGCGGGTATTAATTAAATCGTCAGCCTGTTTGCGGGGCACATGCACGCTACGCACGGCACGTAAGTGCACAAGTTGTTGCAGTCGCGTTGGGAAAACACTTGGGCGAAAACAGCGGCGCGGTGAAATTGATTGCCGAGAGGCCTGGGCTCCGCGATGTAACGGCGCTAGGTAGATATCGATGTATCGGTGGTTCACGTCGGTCGCCGATCGATCGTCCGCGTCCGACGCGTGCGTCCGCACGTGCTGACCGCAAACGCATATATGTATGTAGGTCAAACGCAAATCGGTTCCACGCACCTGGATGAACCCTACCACACGTAATTGTCCGATCTTCGCAATCTCTTTTCCCCGTGATAGTCAGCGACAACAAAGTCGTATTTTTGAAAAAGAGAGAAATTCGCTGAAAAAAAGAACTACGTACGCAGCTTGCGCGACCTATTTTTATTATTTTTAGATGACCAAATCTTCGTGTACATGTCGCAGTGAATGGAACGTGCGTTACACGTATTTACATAATTACGACACGGCGGTTTTTAAAACGGCCGCGGTATAACCGAGTAACACATCCCTCTTACAATTGTGTTTGACGCGACCTCACGACTAGTCCAGCTTAACCCCACTTACCCCTCGGCTGCTCGCGGAGCGCGGACAGAGGATTTAAAAGGTATATTTCAGGCTGCGAATATCGGCTGCCGACACCGTGCACGTTTAACACCGTGCGAACTGTCAAAACAGTCGGCTCACGGAATAATTGGATTCCCCGGTGACTAGAACACGTCGTGGTTCTTATCCCCATCATTAATTTCTTTATCTCACATCGCGATACTCAGACCGTTACAAGTTGCGCGATCCGAATTGTGACACGTGTCGAGAATCTCATTAGTAAAGTAGGACATACGTTTTGTTTCTTTTATCAACGTTTAACGGTGCAAAATAATTTCTAGATAGAAAGGAACATCAATACAGGAAACGATGAAGCAGGTAATTAAGACGTTAGCTCGTTCAACCGGTGTGCTTTTCCATGTACGTGGGATTTTCCATGAAAATGTGACGATGTTTTCCGCAGCGACCGATGTTATCCGTGGCCACTGTATTTTATAATTACTCTCACGGAGACTAGCGTTGCAAATAGGGCAGATGAAAGCGGATGAAAAAAACAAAAGCCGCGAGCAAACGAACGCAGGGGTCGCGACCGCGATAAAAATATAGTTCTGATGCCCGGCGTCGATTCGGATGATCCAGCTTTTTTAGGGATTGGTTATTTCCAGCGATCGATTATACCGCGAGATCAAACGGTGTATACGCATCGTCTTCTCTTTCAATTCCTCGTTCGACCTCGCTAGTCTTCATCGAGATTAAGAACTCGCTTCCGGAGTTTAACAATCTTCTCGACTTGGCGTCGATACACGCGGTCCTCTTCGTTAATGGCGTTCCTGATTAATTAAGAATGATCGAGGGAATCGTCGGATTTTCTTCGCTGGTAGCTGGATCGATCGGTCAGATCCGGTTGGGAAAGCTTCTTCGCTTGTGCTTGCGCCTTCGGTGAATCTCATTAGACCGTAGTCAGGAGAGTATCGATGTACACCGGACATGTACACTCGATACAGTCGCGTGTGTGCCATAACTGGCCACGTAAGTATACGTATCTGTATCCAATAACACGCACGCGGGCACACGTTTGCTTTGAGGACAGGTACGTACGTATATACATCCACTTAGACGTATCTGTAGGAACGTTCCACTGTGAATCGTCTACGAGTTTACGAGGAGCACGAACCAGATCCGTCCCTCTCGTAGGGACGAAGATGGGTTCTAAAAATATCGTATAAACTCTTGCTGCATGTATATTTATTTGCAAATTAAAGAAGTTCCGAAAATGTGTAAGCCGTTTATTTATAAAATAAGACCCACAGCAAGGATGGCTGTCGACTATTTAAAGTTTTATTAAAGAAGGTGAAAAATTCATGATTCAGGATTCGGCGTGTTATTAAAAGGGGAAATACCTGACGTGCCCGTCTTACAAAAGTTAATCTAAAGTTCGTCGAGCACGAGAAGAAGACGTCGCGAATTTTTATCCGCGCCTCAAGATCGAGAGACCTGTCAATCTGAATTAGTCTCTCGATGTCGAAGGATCGTTGAAACAAGCCTCGAGGCGAACACATTGAGAATACGCCGAAATATACCATTCGAATACTCTGTTGGTTATCAGAGCATTAGTTGAATAGTTCGTTAAATATTTCCTCTTTAGATAGAATTCCTCTGAGCTTCTGGTCAATATGTTCTATGCACATTCGATATAGCCATGTTTGTAATGCTAAATCTATTCATTAATCAGTGGTTCAAACATCGGCGATTGACTCACGCGGTACGTTTACCATATAATTAATGTATTTACAGAAGAAAGCGTATAGAATTTATTTTTACGGTATTTTGTTAACAGTCTCGAAAAATGGCTGTACCTTTCCAGTTGCCGGTGATCATTGCAACTGGTAAAGAAATGACTAAGGATATCATCATACGACATTGTGTGTAACGCTATGTGTCGTAGTGAACGTTTCCGAAAATCAAACAGGAATTCGAATGATCTGGGCACAGATAGGTAGACAACGTACGATCATGGCAGGTCCAGGTTGGAACGTCGAGCCTCTACCACGATGAAAGAGAGTAGGGCTTAATCAGTTAGTCGATAGGCAAATTGGCTTAGAGGCAGGCGACCGACACGGGGTGGTTTACAGAGCCAGCAAGCCCCGGCAGTGGCCAGTGGCCGAGAGAGAAGAGAAAGCGGCGGAATCAACCGTTTTGCCGCGAAGAGAACCGCGTTTGTGTCCCCGATCGTTGCTGGGGTTTCTCCTCCTGCCTGGCCCTGAATCGCGCTACCGAAATCCGAAACCGGATGAAAATCATATCGCACGACGCCTAGTTCTGTGCCCACCTCTTCGCCCCACGCGTTGGTCGCGCACCAGTTTCACACACACACACACACACACACACACACATCTACGCCACGCGTACGCGAGACGCGAGACGCGAGACCGGAAGAGTTCTAAGTTCGGTCGCGATCGCGAGGAACCCGATGATTGTTCGGGGATCGAAGTGTTCGCCGGAGATCGACGCACGTTCAAGTTAACTTTGATGGATATTCGAGGGTGCTTCCGGCGGATGCGGCTGCTGGGCTGATAAGCTGGCTGCGGTATCGTGATAAGGGATTCGAGGGGCAGTCGGAGTGGTGCAGAGGCGCTCGATTCGAGAGCAACCAGGGGAAAGAGGATCGCGACACGGTAGAATGTGTAGCTGATCGGTGAGTCTGCCGTCGTCTCCTCGGTCCCTGCCCCGATGGCTTATTACCTCGATTCCTGACGACGACGCGACGTGACGGTTCAGTCCAATTTTTCTTCGACGCGCGAAACTTTAACTGAGTTAAACGCGAACCGGAGCTCGACCTAAATTCCCCCGCCGACGGAGAGCGTCGATAGAGAACCCCGTAACCTAACCGAACCTCCATCCCTCGTTCGATCCATGCCCACTTGTTTGCCTGTACGTTTACTGTTTCTTACGGGCTCGCCGATCATCCCCCGCCCGTTCCCTATGAAACATCGAACTGCCTAGTGGCAGTCGTCCGCGTTCCGCTACGTTCTCCCACTTGCATCGCGTCACGGACGAACGTTTGTTTCAGGAATGACGAGACAGTTTCTGGTGATCCTATGCTGCTACCTGTACACGCTCTTTGACATGGCGGCACTGCATTTTCCGTGAGTAGGCGAACATGTTTCCCGATGCTAGAAGAGATCGAAGAGATCCGCGGTCAAAGCGGAACACTCGAGACTAGCCTTGATCGGAAGGGTCGGAGAGGTTTCTCGCGTGTAATTGGCCACCGCGCCTCGCATCGAATTGATCGCGTCGATCGGGCACGCGTGGAAATCTCTCTCCTCAGTGCCCTCTCTTTCCCTTGCCCGTCCTGTGCGTTTTCTTTCCCTCTTCCCGTCCGTCCCTCCCACTGCCCGTCGATCGCCCGGATAACGCGATCTCGAGGACGATATCGTGGCCTAGTTGCAAAAAGAACGAACATACCACCGCTGTCGCCGCCGTCGTTTAAACGTCTGTTACATCGAGGAATCTGTATTCATCGAATGTATATATACATTCATGTAGCTAGAGTCATGTATTTCGAGTCCCGGTGTGAATTCGTTCTCGTTGCAAAACACGGCGACGAAGGAAGAAGCTGGCCCCCAGCATCACCCGCGACTGTGTCGAGTTTCAGCGAGGAAATATGCGAACCGGTACTTTCTACGGAGGTCGAAGCCTGGCACATTAAGGTCGATAGCCTATCGTCCAGTACGTTTCGACTTTCGGCGAGAAAGCGCGGGTACCGGTTTTTTCCGAAGATCGAAAGGTAAACGCACCAAATGATCGACCATCATCAAAAGAATCTGTGTCTAAACCCCGATGTCCCTCACCGTTTATCCACGATCTTTCCGCGCCAGTTTCTCGTCCTACTGGATTTTGTTTTCGAATTTCATCACCCGATTCTCATCTATAATCTCCTCTTATTGTTCGCATCCTTGCCAAAAATTCCTGTTCCTTCGCTGGACCGTTTGGAGACGAAGCACGAGCGCCGAGGATACTCGAAATGTGTGTTCGAGGGTTCGTTCCCGCGGAGGTTTGAGTCTCGCGGCCGACGCCGATTCGGGGTGGAATTGTAAGAAAACTCTTTGGAGTCTTGCCGTGGATTATCGGCTTGGCAGGTTTCACGGCGCTATAAGGCGCCCCGACACGTTTGACACCGAGCCCACTTGAGTCGTGCGCCTGGATAAACGGGCGTCGATTGCCACGAACCGCCTTTTATCACGGCTTATCAACTTGACGCAATCGTCGCCCGGGAAGCGAGGATTCCTCGAACCGCGACTCGCGTCCATCTTCCACTAATTAAATACGTCGTTCATTGTGAAATATATATTTGAAAAAATAATAACGAGCTACAATTTAATTCAGAAATGAAGTATTGACGAATTTGAGGAAAATCGAATTGTGTCCATCTTCCACTAATTAAATACGTCGTTCATTGTAAAAGATATACTTGAGACGATAATTAAAGGCCCATAATTTATCTATAGACGAATTTGAGAATGCAGAAATCGAATCTCGTAAGAAAAGCTCGTGCAGCATTGAAACTTTCAAGCCTCCTTATAAATCACGGTCTACCGTAAATCAAACGTCCTGTCACCCACATGCATACACACAAATACGAGGAGCGAAAGGATCGTATTCCTTGGGAGTTCGATTAAAATCGAACGACGAAGCCGCGGCTCGGTGCCGTAAATCAGGGACGGTGTCGAGGGCGGGCAAGGGGAAAGTGGAAATTCTCGGGGAAACCGGATCCGGAGGTCGTAGGTTGGCATATTAAAATGTCTGCATGTAAGGAACACACGTATGTGTCTCCAGCGGACTTAAAGGTGTGCCAAGCACGAAGACCTATTATGGCTTCCGCGATATTGCTGTTTCATCGGAATCGCGCCAATATTTTAGAGTCGTTCGTTCATGGACTTCCTTTGCTCCCGATCTATACGGTCTGTGTTTACAATTTTCCATTTTTCCCCCGTTTCGAATTCTCTAAGCACGTATGTCGTCGTTTTCGATCGATTGAAATTTACATTAAATTAATATAAAACATATATAAAATTTATAAAACACGAAATTTAACACATCCGATGATCAAGAGGGAAGCATAATATTTTGTATGTAAATAAGTAGCTCTTGACTTCGGTTCAAGACGATCAAAGAAACACGAATGGTGACGTACTACATTTTATAAATAGACAATTAACATGGAATTGACAAAATGTAAATAGGACAGCATTACCGTACATTTTTTGGTGATCTTAACGCGGGATAGGACGTTTGTCGAGAGAACGACTGAGCCTTCGTGTTAAAAGGAGAAATTGAATAACGCGGTCGCCAAGAAATAGGAGTCCCGAGTTAATAAACGGCGGTGTATCTCGTGGCAACAATAGCATGGGAATTGGGTGACGGAACTCGGGAAGGGATTCCGTCGTCAGCCTCGCTTCTCTCTGCTTTCTATTGCAGGGAGTCGGATGTGGAGGAGTACGGGAGGAAGGAGGCCTCGCTGTCGCTCAGGGACATCCTTCCGTTGAACCCGAAACAGTACGATAAGCACAGGGCGCCGAAGTTCTTGGGTCAGCCGACCATCGTCTACTTCCACGTGACAGTGCTCAGCCTTGACTCTATAAACGAGGAATCTATGGTAATTTATGGTCACCGCCCGCTCGCCACGGAACCGTCCGTGGTAGAGAAACCGTGCCTTCGTTTAATTAAGTCGTAACCCAGACTGGGTGAAGCCCGCGGCGTACGTGCACACGCCGTACGACACAAAGGAAAACCGTGTGAGATCGGCTGACATGTGGGGGGTTGGAAAGCCTCTCTCGCCGTGATACGTTTCACATCTTTTATAGAAACGTCGATAACGTCTACCATTTTTAGGGTATTACGCCGTCCAAGCAAGAAATAATTAAAGAAAGATACGGAACGAGATAATTAGACGTGCTGCACGTACACACGTGCAACAGTCATCCGTTAGGATCTTTACGGACGTACGTCAGGATGAAAACTAATTAAAGACAGAAACGAAACGAGATTTTTAATATGATGATAAAAATGCTACACACACAATAGTCATCCATTAGGGTCCTTGTTTTACAGACGTACGTCGCGGACATATTCCTGGCGCAAAGTTGGCGAGACTCAAGGCTTCGACTTCCGGAGAACATGTCCGAAGAGTACAGAATTCTGGACGTGGACTGGCTGCACAATATCTGGAGGCCGGACTGCTTCTTCAAGAACGCGAAGAAGGTCACCTTCCATGAGATGTCGATACCTAACCACTATCTCTGGCTGTACCACGACAAAACGTTGCTTTACATGTCGAAGTAATCGATGCTCGCTTAAACCCTTGATCATTATCCGCGGACCTTCCGATGAACGTTATCGAGTCTCCTTGCTTCCAGATTAACCCTCGTCTTGTCGTGCGCGATGAAGTTCGAATCTTATCCCCACGACACTCAGATTTGCTCAATGATGATCGAAAGTCGTACGTAATATTCATAAAAATTTTTCAATTACGAAATTCTATATTATTATAAAATTCCAATTGTACAGGTTGTCCCAAAAAAGAATGCCAGATTTTACTAAAAGGTACCTAACGACCCAAAAATTTTCTTATACATTTAAGGACGAAAAGTATAGTCCTGTGAATCCATATCTTTGACTAATTTTATAGGTAAAATTGACATCCGGCTTTATCGTACCACTATTGGAGTTTGTTTCATTTTTTGGGACACCCTGTACTTGTTTCGATTACATATAAAAGATTCATGAAACTGTCTATTGCGAATTACATATTAACAATTTTTACGACGTCGTGTATGTGAGCCGAATTCACAATGGAAGTCACCAAGACCGTTTGGTTGCAGTGTCGCACACCACCCAGGATCTGGTGTTCATTTGGAACATGACGGACCCGTTGGTGGTGAACCCGGAGATCGAGCTACCGCAACTAGACATCTCGAACAATTACACGACGGACTGCACGATCGAGTACTCGACCGGTAACTTCACCTGTATACAGATTGTGTTCAATCTCCGTCGCAGGCTGGGCTATCACCTGTTCCACACGTACATTCCGTCCGCCCTGATCGTGGTCATGTCCTGGATCGCGTTTTGGATCAAACCAGAGGCGATCCCGGCCCGGGTCACTCTCGGCGTGACGTCATTGCTGACCCTTGGTAAGTCTCGGAATTCCGTGCGCATACCGTTAAATTCACTATCGAACCCGGTGACTAACAGAATCGTACTCCACTTTTTATGTACTAAACAACCAGGCGTGAATTTGAAAATTTATTTAATTTACCAACCTAATTAGCATAAACATTGTTTAAAAAATAATATGTTCTTGGTACGTATAAATGGACTTAAAC